TCCCCACGACATTTGCGCATTCCTTACCTCGCAGGAATCCTCCATTATTCTGAGGATTACCCAGAATCCCTTGCCCTTTGTGAATGTTGCAGGGTGACTTTTTCAACAGTAGGTGGCGCCAATGTCCCATTTAGCGGGATTTAACTTCACCTCTATTTAACTATGTTACACTCAGGTGAGTTCACTCAGCCATTTATGGACCTTATTTCGCAGGAACCGCCTGAACAGACTGACTGCACTGTGCAGCCCCAGCCGCTGCATTCTGAGCCGGCTGTTTGCCCTGCGCAGCTACAGTTAGCCTCATCTAAGCCAGAGGTCTCCACACCTGCTGGACCTGCTTCGGCTCAGCCAGAGGTCATCACATCGGCTGGTCCTGCTTTGCCTCTGCCAGTTGTCTCCACACTTGCTCAACAGCTCACAGCTGCCACGCTACCACCTTCTCCACAATCACCATCGTCTGTGGCGGCTACGCCGCCCTCAGCTCTACCATCTGCACTACCTTTTACATCACCAGCAGGCCCAACCACTGTCCTACCCGAGCCAGAGGTCCCTGCGCCATTTGGACTCACTCTACCCATGCCAGACGCCAGCATGCCTGGGGGACCTGCTCAGTCCAAGCCGGAGGTCAGCGCAAGAAGGGTCTGTGAGCTGCCTGGACCTGCCACACCTGTCCTTGAGGTCGCCGCGCCACCTTGTCCTGCTTTGTCTGACCCTGCACGCCGGCTGTCTGCCAAGGTGCCTGTGAGTTTTCTGGCATGTCCATGTCCAGCACATCTAGTATGGCCTGCACGTCCATGTCCAGCACGACCCAGATTGCCTGCTGTGCTGTGTCGCCATCCACTAAAGGTATTTTGTCGCCACCGCCGGGTCGGCCACCAGAACCATTTCCCTGCCGACGCCGGACCCGTGGCAGGCCGCCCGAACTGTTTTTTTTGCCTCTGCTTGACCCGAGGTTGGTCAACTGAGGGGTCCTGCCTTCGTCACCGCCCACCAAGTTGGCCTCCAGAACTGTTTTGCTGTTGCTGTTTGAATTGCGGTCAGGCCGCGTTTTGTGTTGGACTGTGGCCCTTTTTGATTTCCTGGGGGTTTTGGGACATAAAATGCAGAACTCAGAAGCAGGTTTGAACGCAGAGCAACTTTATTACAGAACTTTGCAAGAATCCACAGAACCTAAACTAGCCAGGTGCTTGAGCAAATGAACAAAGACATGCAAAACAGACAGAGCACAAACATAATGTCACGGTACTGGGTCTGCAACCCAGTATTTATGTTTCAGATCTTGATTTAATATACTTTGGCTATTGTTATTTCTGGTTTTGGCTATCTTTCCTTTGTGCTTAGTGATTTTAGTTTTTCCTTCCTTTGTATTTTTCTTAGTCTTCCCCTGTCTCTGTTCCTAAGTCAGTCATGTCTTTATGTCTCAGTGTCAAGTCCGCGTCTTTGTTTATGTCTCTGGTTTTCTGTTTTACTTTGATTGTCTCATGTCCTGTGTTGAGCGTTTTCAGTTTTGCTTCCCCCTCAGCTTGTTATGTCTGATTAGTTCCAGCTGTGTGTCCACCTGTTCCCCATCCTTTTGTCATCCTGCCTGTGTATTTAGGTCCTCCGTCTCCCCGTTTGTTGTCACAAACAAACAAAACAAAACACAAGGAGCCCAAGAACCGAGATACCGGAATAACTCAAAACAAATCCCACTGGGTCAACCATGAGTCCACTAAGCAAAAAGTTCAGGAAGCCGACCCGGAGGCCGACAGCACAAAAGTCAAACGCAAGGTACTCAGGGGGCCGGCCACGTGAAAGGCAGCGGCAGCGACGTGGGAACAGTTCAGGGGGCCGACTTCGCGGATGGCAACAGTGGCAATGGGGAAACAGTTCAGGGGGCCGACCGTGCGGACGGCAACGGCGACGACGGGGCAACAGTTCAGGGGGCCGACCGAGCGGACGGCAACGGTGGCAACGCAGACGAGACACATCAGGAGGCCGGCCGGACCCCCAGCTAACGAGGCAAGAGGCTGGATGGGCTCCTCGGGCCCTCCAGCTGACGAGGCAGGAGGCTGGATGGGCTCCTCGGGCCCTCCAGGGGAGACAAGTTGCTGAACGGGCCCCTCGGACCCTCCAGCGGAGACGAGGATGTGCTGGCCGGGCTCTCCAGAACCCCCGCGGACACGAGGAAGTGCTGGCAGGGCTCTCCAGAACCCCCAGCGGATGAGGCAGGTGGCAGCGTGAGAGCCGCGGAGTGCTGGATGGACTCATCCGAGCTTCCAGCAGGAGCTGATGTAGAGCCAGAGGGTATAGGGACCCCTGGCTGAATGTGTAGAGGACCAGGTGAGTGAGTGTGTAGAGGACCAGGTGAGTGAGTGAGTGTGTAGAGGACCAGGTGAGTGTGTGTGTAGAGGACCAGGTGAGTGAGTGTGTAGCTGACTAGGGGACTGAATCGCTACAGGTGACACTGAGAGCTGAGCTACAGGGGAGACCGGGAGCTGAGCTACTGGATGCTGTACTGAAGTATGAACTGGTGGGAGAGCTGATGCCTGAGCTGCAGTTTGTAGTGACACTTGTGGTGAAGGTGGAGTTGGTGATTGAGTGAATGACTGAGGAGCAGGAGTCTGAACTGGGGACAGCCAGGGAGCTAAACGGGCCTCTGGATGGGCAGCTAAACGGGCCTCTGGATGGGCAGCTAAACGGGCCTCTGGCTGGGCAGCTAAACGGGCCTCTGGCTGGGCAGCTAAACGGGCCTCTGACTGGGCAGCTAAACGGGCTGAAGCTAAGGGCTGGGTGGGTGATTGAGAAAGAGCCGGAGTGGCTGGCTGCAA